AAGGAGCCCCGGGGGGGTGGGGGGGCTGTTTTCCGAGGCTCAGGCTCCTCTGGGCCCATCCTGGCCCCGTGCGAGCAGCTGGTCCCGGCTCTGCCCTGAGCCGCTGTGGCTTCCCCTCTTTCTGAAGCTGCGGGTCACCCAGGGGCTGCAATCCCTTTGCTCCAACGGCCATGTTACAGCAACGGGCCGAGCACAGAAACCAAGACCCTCGCTGACATCAATAAAATTTATTTAAAAATAAATAACAAACACAGGTTTTTTTTCTAAAAGAGAAGAAACTGAGGATACGGTTAAGAATCTTCTCACGGAAAAGCCCGGCTCCACAGTGAACTGCAGCCAGCTCTGCGGCGAGTCCCTCTCAACACAGACAGGAAGTTCTGAGCTAATTAATCCTTAACTTGGACGGTGTTGGCAAACTGTGCAGCAACACGGGGACAGGATACCGTATCGTGCCCAGATGGGGTCCCCCAGGAACGGAAGGTTGGCTTAACAGTAGAAAATCAATGTAATTCAACACAAGAACGAACTAAGAAAGAGAAACCATCTGATCACCTCAATAGACTTTTTAAAATCTTTTTATTGATTTCAGAGAGGAAGGGAGAGGGGATGAAAGATAGAAACATCATTGATGAGAGAGAATCATTGATCGGCTGCCCCCTGCATGCCCCCTACTGGGGATCGAGCCCGAAACCCAGGCATGTGCCCTGACCAGACTCGAACCCGGGGCTTTAGTCCTCAGGCTGAGGCTCTTTCCATTGAGCCAAACCAGCCAGGGCTTCGATGGATGTTTTTAAAAAGTATTTGAGAGTCAACATCTGTTCCTGATTAAAAATAAAAACAAACAGAAGCCCTCTTGGCCCTGTAGGAGGGGAGGGACCCTCCCCAGCTCAGGAAGGTGAGGATCCCGGGGCCTCGGACGGAGGCATGGGCGGGGCTTCAAGATCCCCCTGCACAGCCCTGGCTGGTGGATCAGTGGTTAGAGCACCTGATCTTGCCCTGAGGAGTCCCAGGTCCCGGGTTTGATTCCCAGTCAAAGGCACGTACTGGGTTGCAAGTTTGATCCCCAGCCCTGTTGGGAGGGGGAGGAGGCAACCAATCTATGTGCCTCTCTCACATCAATGTTTCTCCCTCTCTCTCTCCCTTCCCTCCCTCCCACTCTCTCTAAAGTCAATGGAAAAAATATCCTTGGGTGACGATTAACAAAACAAAAAGAAACAATCTCCTACTGAAACCGGTTTGGCTCACTGGATAGAGCGTCGGCCTGCGGACTGAAAGGTCCCAGGTTCGATTCCGGTCAAGGGCATGTACCTGGGTTGCGGGCACATCCCCAGTAGGAGGTGTGCAGGAGGCAGCTGGTCGATGTTTCTCTCTCATCGATGTTTCTAACTCTCTATCTCTCTCCCTTCCTCTCTGTAAAAAATCAATAAAATATATTAAAAAAGAAAAAGAAACAAACTCCTGCACAGAAAGATAAAAGAACTTTATTGTTCATTTCAGGAACTTTATGGCAAAAAAAAAACCTTAAACACCAGGCTTTCAACAGATCCCCCAAAGACCCCTGAACCTTTGCCTTCCTGTGTCCACCAACCATGAACTGCCACCGGGACCCGAGTCCAGTCCTAACCAAGCCTGCTCCTCACCGAACACCACAACCCGGCCCGGCCCGGCCTCGGCAGACTCAGTCCTCTGCACTCAGCAGCCTCGCGCCCAGGCTTCTCCGGTGGCGTTTCAGGGAGCCTGGGCTCGACCTTGCCGAGAAGCCCTGAGTGACCGATTTGTGGTGAACGGACAGATGACGGTGGGGAGGTTCCGGGGGGAACCACGGCCTCAGAAACAAATCCCACGAGGCCGGGACCACTGCGTCCCCGGGTCTTCAGCAGCAGCCCAGGAGGTGGACACGGCTCGGCTCCTGGACCCGGAAGGTCATTCTGCGATGCGTGGCAGGCGCAGGAGGCGCCTTAGCAGACAGCAGAGCGAGAGCCGGGACGCAGACGGGATCGGAGTGCAGGACACGGCTCGGCTCCTGGACCCGGAAAGTCATTCTGCGATGCGTGGCAGGCGCCTTAGCAGACGGCAGAGCGAGAGCCGGGACGCAGACGGGATCGGAGTGCTCAGAGGTCCCGGGTCGGGGCCCAGGTTCCTCGTGCTCACGTGAGCTTCACCTTCCCGGGCGTGACTTAGTTCTCAGGCGTGTTTATCGCCGCCGCCGTCAGTCGCATCATTCTGAAAACCTGCTGCCGTCAGAGACCAGCTCACGCTGGTCGCACACGCCCGTTTCTGGTGGTGTCATTCCGAGGCCAGAGGCCTGAGGGGCATCCTGGAACCGAACCTCCCGCTGCCAAGGAGAGAAACCCAGCAGATGCTGAACCCCCGCTGAGCAGTCACACCCACTCTCCCTCCTGACCCCATCCCTTTGCTTGGGGAACACCTCGTGCTGAAAGACTCTGTGGCTGCTGAAAACTCTGGACATTCCAGCTGGGGACGATGTCCTGAGACGGCGTCGAGAGGGGAGAACCCCCAGGACTCGGCAGATGGGCATCCCAGAGCCAAGGAGCCTGGGGCCGGGGGTGTGGGCAGGTGCCGGCTGTCCTGCGGCCCCCATGGTCTAGCACACCTGCAGCTCCTGGCCCTGATGGCACCCACCTCTCACCCAGACGACCTCAGGGATGCTGGTGGAAACGTGGTGTCATTCTAGGCCGGATCTGGAGACAACATCGAGGCCTGCCACAGGCCTGAGGGGCATCCCTTTCATGAGCACAATGTGACTCGCTGAGAGGCTGTCACTTTTGTCCAGGGTGGCTCAGAGGCCGAGCCTGAGACCACACATGTGGAAATTCCACCCACTTTGGTGCCCTGTTGGGACAAAGCCAGCCCAGGGGGCCAGTCCTGTCACCTTGACCCATGGTCTTGGGACTGATTGGGGCGCACTCCCTCCCGGGAGTCCATGGGGTGGAGCTTGGGCGGGAAAAGGAACCAGTCCAACCAGCTTCACTAGCTCAGAGGAACCCAGTCACCCGTCTGCTCATAGTCCCGTGGACGTGGACGTGCGGCTAGACCTGCAGAGCCTGTGTAACAGTCGTGCACGGTGGTGGCCCCTCCCTGGTCCAGGCCAAGCCACAGGTCTCTGTTCAGTCACCGGCCCAGACACTGCTCTCCAAGTGGCCCTTGAGGAAAACTGGCTTCGCCCGGGACGCAGAGAGCAGCGCCTCTCTTAGGATGACACCCCCCGGCACACCCAGTGCCCCTGCCTGCCTGCTCGCTCTGGGGGCCAACCCCACCCCCAGGGAAGGTATAACCAGGCTGGACACGAGAAGGGCAGTGGTCAGTCTCTGTCTTTTCTCCCAGAAGCTCCTTGGCACCCCCCTTCCCCCGGGGCGCTCTGCATGTCCAAGGGAGGTTTGACCCGGCACCGCGATACCCTGTTTCATCTGACCCCACAGAGGCTCCACATCACCCCCCGACGCGGAGTGAACGTCCCTGCCCAGCTTGGCCGGGACCCGCGCGGGCCTCGCAGCCAAGCGTCCGAAGGGTCTGGGCTGGGAAGCCTCGGTTTTTGCAGACGCCACTCGGAGACAGTGAGCGTCCTCAAGGCGCTCAGCAGCGAAATGGGTTAGTCCGCGTGCTCTCCCATCCGCTCAGACAACGGCCTCCGCACATCGGCCACATGGCTCTGTGCTGTTACTTGCTCTAGTGGAGCCGAGGGGCGGCCGGCGCCAGCGTCGCTTCGGCCGCAGGCGGGAGCCTTCTATCCGCGCCCGAAACCGGGTCAGAGCTGCTGTCAGCACTTCGCGGCCCGCTGCTGTCCTGCCGCCGCCGGGCTTTCCGGTCTCCTAGCAACGCCAAAGACCGTCCGCGCGCGAGGAATCCTGGGCAGTGTAGTTCTCCCCTCCACCTCCTCCCTCCCTAGCCCAGTACAGGGCCCGGAGGCTAGGACCGCGGCGCCCTATACTACACTTCCCAGTTCGCTCCGCGCGCGCCTCTCACGGCCTCGCGAGAATCCTGTAGCGGAACCCACCTGGCGAGAGTGGGCTCTTGCGAAGACCGCCGGGAAGTGTAGTTCGGGGCTGGTAGTCTCGTGCCCTGGCACCCGGGCTGTGGCAGCGATGAGACTACAAGTCCCAAGGTGCTCGGCGCGACCACCTGGCGGGCGGGGGGTACGAAAGAGGAACCCAAGGGGCGCCAGGGTGAGTGAAAGGCTGGGAGTGGGCGGGCGGCGGGCCCGT